GTCTAGGCACTTTGTGTACGGCAGCTGATCTCTCTTTTCCAGCCACACAAACACCCACACACCCACATGTATACACATACACATGCATGTGTGTAGGCACCCATGCACACACCCAGGCAGTGAGGGATGTTAAACAAAATGCAACCCTTCTTCACTGACTTCACCTCACTTCAAATGAGTATAAAACTCATTTATACTCTGAATTTCCCCCTGAGCCTGAGGAGACTCTTCATCATCTAAATTTGATCTTACCATGATTATTTGAAATAGCGTTCATGACTGATGCCATGATTTTAAAATAAAAATTGCTGGCAATTGTGATCTGCCGCTAGATAACAGGTCTACCTGCATGCTTGTCTCTCAGTGAATGTGTTTGCCCTCTAGTTTGGCGGCTGCTTTGGGAGGGAAATACAGTACCCGAGAAGCCTCAAACCAGCAAGCCTCACACAGCTCAGCCTATCGTGGATGGAAAGATCTGCTCCCTGACACAAACCCCCTCTGTGATAAAACAAAGCAGCTATGTAGCAGGCCTGTCCATCAGAGAATGCTCTCTCTCTCAGCAGCGACCTGAGGCGGGTTGAGGAGTCTGAACAATGGCCTGGAATTTGGAGGCACTTCTGGGTGAAAGGGGCCCAGGATTTTCAGTGACCCGTCAACTCCCTTTTATCACAACACCCCCTCCCAGTCAGCAACTTTCTCCTCACCTTTGGGCCTGAGTGTCACCCAGAGCCTGGAGTTTATCGTCTAGAACGACGACTCCAAGGACCAAGCCTCCAAGCCTCCTAGTTGGAGACGTGGCCCAGCTCCCTGAGGTCTTGGCTTCCCAGGAGGCCAGGCCCACAGGACCCCTGCTGCCTGCCCTCTTCTGCCCTCCGTGGTCTAGTCCTCCCAGCCCTGAGAAGGGCAAGGCCAGACCCTTTGCCTTCCCCGCCCAAAGCCCAACCTCTTAAGCTCTGCTCTCCTCCCTTGGCTCCCCTCCCCCCACCCTACCCCCTTTCAGGGCATAAGGGACCTTTTCTATTTGCACAGCCTAAAGAAGCTGGTTGCCAAGGTGACAGGAGAAGGAACAGCAGGGAGCTTGCTATGGGGGAGGGGCTTTGCCCCCAAACAGCTGTCAGTGGGAGCAGTCCCAGCTGGGGCAGGGGGGCTTGCCACTCTGGGAGGAAACACCCCCAGGGAAGGCACATTCCTCTTTGCAGCTCTGCCCCAGCCCCCCACAAGTCTCCACTGCCTACCTTCCCCTGGGGGCAGCGAGCCAGCTCCATAATAAAAAAAGCTCCCATAACAAAACAGGCTTTTGGAGCTGCTCTCACTCTCCAGTGCGTGCAAGGGCTCTCTCAGGCACAAGCACGCCTGCTCTGTCTCTCCCTCATTCACCCCTTCCTCTGCTCAGTGGGTTGGTTGGGCAGGAGGCCAGCAGTCACCTCTGCCTGGAACTGTGAAGCCAGACAGGTGCTACTCTGGGCTGCCCCCCATCAGGTTGAAAGAATATTTCAGCCTTTTGGTTCCACAGGCTCCGAGAGACCCTGTGGCTCCTAAGCCTCCCCAGCTGCCTTCCTTTTGGGAGGTGGGAGTCTGACGAGTGGAAAGGCTTAAAGATGGTAAGGGGTGGGAGAGAAAGGAAGAAGGGGCTGGACTGTGGGAGGCAGGAAGCAGGAACAGTGCCAAGCCCACTGATCTGTGTCTCTGGGGCGAGGGTCTTTGTAGTCCTCAGCACACAGCTGCTCCACAGAAAGTTCTGTGCGGCCACTGGTCTCTGTTCTGCATCATACCCCACACTGCCAGCCAGGCAACACCTTGGTCCCTGGCCCTCAAGCCTGCCACTCCCTGTTGTTTACCTTTTCAGGGCTCAGGAATTGATAGCTGGCCACCTGGCTCTGCAAACCCCCAACAGTCTTGGAACCCCCAGGCTCTTTGAGCTTTGGGTTGGGAATAAGAAAGGGCAAGGAGGCCTCAACCACTGTAAGAACGAAGAGTGGATCCCCAAGACCAGCCTTCTTCCCTGACCAGCGTATCATACACCACTCATCAAAGAAGCTTTTTTTTTTTAGCAACAGTTGGAGGCTACTGCAGAGTTCCACAACTGGTTACACACAGAGAAAGAATATATGTCTGAGATGTGTCCACTCAGAGGTGACATGTCTACAGTGGAACCTCTACACCTCAGGCTCATAGAACAGGGGGTGGAGAGAAAACTAGTGCATCCCTCAACTCTCACCAGCGAAGCTCCCTTATTCAACAGAGTGTGGTGCGCACAGAAGGCCACAACTGGCCAAGTTTTAGAGAGTAAGAGACTGCAGAGTGTGTCCTTGGATAGGACTCCTATGCTAAACCTCACCCACCCAGGGCTCAGGAGCCATTTCGAAAGAGGGAGCAGAAAAACTGTAAGACCAGGGTTGTCCATGAACACAGGAAACAGACTTTCAGGCCACTAGAAGCTTGCTTTTGTGAACTTGTGTAAAGGTGGCATCAAACACAAGATTCATGACAACTCAGTCGGACAAGGAAAATGGGCGACGGTAGGTAGGCCTGGGAACTGTTGGAGACTGATTACTGCTGGGTGAGGGAGAGTAGATCTGCCTTAAGATCTCTAGTCAGGCTGACTAGACGCCAGTGGGTGACCTTACACTGAAGGACATCTGGGTACAAATACTTGGATAGAACTTAACACGTATGGCAGAATACATGAGGTCCGGTGGGGTGGGAGGATTGGCATGGATGGGGGTGTCAAAATTTGATTAAGAACTGTTGTGTGAAATGTAGAGAAGTTCAATCAGAAATATATATATTTCTGGCCCTTTATCCTGAGATCTCTGACAGGTGAAGAAATGACTCATGCTCATGTACTGACCTTCCTTCTGTCTGCCTGGGATGCCTTCCCCTGCTTGGTCTGTTGGGTCATCACTCATGCCTCAAGGCTTAGGTGCCAATTAGATATGGTGGTGCATATCTGTAACCCCAGCACTTCTGAGGCTGAGACAGGAAGATGGAGTTTGAGGTTGGTCTGGTCTAGGCTACATAAAAAAGACTCTGATGCCTCTTCTTCTGAGAGACAGTGACTTTGACCCATCCTGCTGGCCATCAGTAAGTTGACCATCAGTGCCCTGCTGCACCTACAATGGTATTAAGAAACTGGATGGGGCTGGCATGGTGGTACAACTTCTAATTTCAGCACTCAGGAGGCAGAGGCAGGTAGACCTCTGTGAGATCTAAGTTCCAGGCTGGCTGGGACTACAGGGAGACCCTGTCTCAAAAAACTAAAAACAGGGGGCTGGAGAGATGGCTCAGCAGTTAAGAGCATTGACTGCTCTTGTAGAGGGGCTGAGTTTGATTCCTAGCACCCATATGGCAGCTAACAACCATCCATAACTCCAGTTCCAGCGGATCCAATGCCCTCTTCTGACCTCTGTGTGCATTGCATGATACAGGTACACTTATATACCTGCAGGCAATATACTCATACACATAAAATAAAAATAATAAATAAAATATTTTTTATAAAAAACTAAAAACCGCCGGGCGTGGTGGTATACGCCTTTAATCCCAGCACTCAGGAGGCAGAGGCAGGTGGATCTCTGTGAGTTCAAGGCCAGCCTGGTCTACATAGCGAGTTCCAGGACATCTGGGGCTACAGGGAGACCCTGTCTCAAAAAGACCATCCCCCCCAAAAAACAAAAAACAAAACAAAACTAAAAACCAACCGACCAATCAAACAAACCAAAAAAACCCAGAATGGATTTGCCTGTGTATCTGACTCCTTCCTTTTGATTACATACTCCCACCCAAAGGGAAGAAACTGTACTTTGACCTACTGGTTTTTATTTTCTTTTTTGGTAAATACACCCAGGGCCTCATGTACTCTAGATAAGTGCTCTACCATTGAGCTATACTTCAGCCCTGACCATCTTGTTTTTAATCTAGTGACAAACATATAATAGGTTCTCTAGAAACAAAAATCAAAGACCATGAGGGTTCTGTTAAATTGTAAACAGGCTGTATGAGGGTGAAGGCACTGACCAGAAGGTTCTCTCTGTAACCCAAGCCGTATGTTTGCTACTACACTTCTTCCTGTGGTAGAACAGCTTGCTCTCATTCCTCAGACTGTTAAGTCTGGCTTCCAGGGCTCTTGGCAGATTTTCCCATTAAAGATTGCCTGTAATCGACAGTGCTGGGAAAAGTTGAGCAGGCAGGAAAGGAGTCTAGCCAGAGAACACTGATTCATCCCCATTAGAAGAATGTGTCCCATAAGCAATCAGCTAATTTGTTTTTTAATCTTCTATATTTACTCTCAAGCATCAGGGTTTCTGGCAAGCCTTTCCTGGATCCTCCAGGCCAAGAGGCTCCTCTACACTCCTGAAGACATGCAGCTTACATATAGAACTGGGTTGCAGTGCTGTCTTTTGCATACACAGAAATGGCAGCACACCTGGCAAGTGTTAGCCAGCTAAGCTCTGCTGAAGGATGAGAAAACCAGCTTCCTATCGCCCTGTGTGCTTCCCACATGCTCTGGCCAGCCCCCTGTTCTGTGCACTGACTCAGGCAATTTTCAAAATAGTCCAGCTACCAACCTCCACCCATTCATCGCTAAGAGTTACAACTGGCTCCAAGATCCAGGGCTATGCCATTGAAAAGAAGGACTCCCTTATTCCTAGTGATGTGGCTTCCTTCCATAAAGTCAGGCTAAGCATGAAACAGAGTCTGGAGCTGGCAAACACCCCAGGATTGGAAGAGAGAGACACATGGCTGGTATCTTAGGGCACACTTGGGTGAAAGGAAGGTTGGGGCTGGGCATGGTAGTGCACGCCTTTAGTCCCAGCACATGGGAGGCAGAGGCAGGTGGATCTTTGTGAGCTCGAGGCCAGCCTGGTCTACATAGTGAGTTCCAGGACATCTGGGGCTATAGGGAGACCCTGTCTCAAAAAGACAAAAAAATAAAAATAAATAAAAGGAAGGTTGGGAAGTTCTCCTGACCCACAGCTCAGATTTCTTAGAGCCCTTACCTGGTGCAATGAGGGGGTGAGCAGTCACAGCAGGAACAGTCCGGCTGAGCCCAGCCCGGCCTTCCATGTTCCCTGGCATGCCCCCACTGCCATCTCCTTTCTTGTATGGCTCTGTCACACTGTCAGTTATACCAGCCTTGGCACCTGCAGGGGAACCCTGTGCAGTGTTTCTGCCCTGTGAGGAGGCAGGCAGAGGCTGGCTACTGCTGGATGTGGGCTTCAGGGCCAAGCTGGGCAGGACAGGCTGAGTGGGGGTAGGGCCCGTGGCCGCTGCAGCAGGTGTCTGTTGTGTTCGTAGGGTCAGGTTCTGTACCTGAAAAAGAGGGGTCTATGGGAGTCCAGAGAATGTGGCCAGTAACACCACCAACACACAACCAAGAGAGGGAGTTAGGGACAGATCCAGGACTGGTCAAACAGGAAAGTGGTTTGTAAAAGGAGAAAGAGAAAAACAGAGACAAGAGCTAGAACGACAGACATGCAGAGAGAGAGAGAGAGCAAGGGAGAGAGAGAGAGAGAGAGAGAGAGAGAGAGAGAGAGAGAGAGAGAGAGAGAGAGAGAGAGAGAGAGAGAGAGAACAAATATATGAGAGGGGGGGTGGAGGAGGAGAGAGGCGGAATATGAGTTAGGGGCTGAAGGAGGAACCAGGCGGAGTTTGTTAAGAGGACAGGAAGTATAGCTAGTGACCAGATCTACCAGCAGAAAGAACTGGATTCTGAGGCTGCCTGGCTGAGGCAGACCAGGCCAGGTTATGCAGGGAGGCCAGCATATCTTATTTCCGTTACCCTCCCTCTTTCCCCATACTATCAGGATTGTGGGGCACAATGTAGAAAAGGCCAGGACAAAAGTGAAAGCTAATGGACAAGCAAGTGAAGGATGATCAGGCAAAGGATTATCTTGTCCTCAGAATCAGGCTAACTCCAGGCATTCCCAAGACAGCTGCATGCTTATTCAGCCTGGTCCCTGGCGCCCTCTGCTGGACACATGGGAGCTGTGCTAGACTGATCCATCCCACCCTCTACCGTCCCCATTCTGAAGATGGGGTGGGGAGACATAAGTGCTGCCCAAGGCTCCTCACAGCTACATTCATGGGCTTTGGCAGAAGGCAGGAGGCCAGGATTCATCCCGGCTCCCTCCCTCGTGCCTTTCCCGGACTCTTAGCAGTGCTGGCACGTGGAACCTGAGGGATTTTCCACTTGCAAAGCAGCAACAAGTCAAGTTATTCTGGTGGTGTCTTGGATGCCAAAGCCTCAGCATGCTGCCCTTTGCCACCTAACTATAATAGGCAAACCACAACAGTCAAGTGGGGCTGAGGCCATCTGGTGGGGCTCAAAGAGCCAGTTCAGTTTCTGCCTGCCCCACTGCTCACTCTCAAGACTGCAGCTCCTCCAGGGCAGCCCCAGCCAGGCTTTTACCCCTCCGAGAGCTGCCCACCCCTGCCCTCCCACAAACCTGGGATCCTCACCTGGGCAGGGGTGGGGGGCCGAGCGGGGGAGCCAGTGCCGAGCTCAGGCTGCACAGTAGCGACGGTGGCCGTGGGCGTGAAGATGAGCTGAGGGGACAAAGGAACAGTGCCGCCTAGGCTCCTAGCTACCTGCACCAGGTTACCTGGCTGGTCCTGGAATCACAGGAAACGAGGCGCCTTTTACCTGCCCAATGTGGGCTGAGCCGCAGGGCAGAACAGTTTAGCCAAAGATGTGAGGATGGCTAGCCAAATGGAACAGGGAGCCAAGAGAGGGCAGGAGGCCCACTGATACCCTAAAAGTCCCAAGAGGCTTTGGGGGTGTTGACCCAAGCCTGGCAGTGAGGGGGAGGGTGCAAGAGTGCTCTGTGAAGGGCTCATTCTGAGGGGACTGATGTTCCCAGAATATTGTGGCCACTGTCTCCTAAGCATCCTGGTGAGCAGTAGCTTTGGGTAAAGGTTAGAGGGCCAGTTTTCAGGTCTCAGCTACCTCTGACCCAGGGCTAGGTCAGAACAAGACTCCTCCAGAAAGGATCAAATCAGGTGTGCACTCTGGCCATTGTCTAGTTAAGTTTTGATTCAGGGGACCTAGAAGCAGCAGTAGCAGAGGAAGCAGACGGCCTGACACTACTGTGGGTCTAGAGTGGTGTAGTGAAATGCCAGCCCTGCCTGGCACCCTGACCTCTGTGTGGATCTGTCTCTGCATATGTGTGGATAGGCTGGTATCTGGGCCTTCCCTTCAGCCCTGGGCTGATGCACCCTTGCTTGCTCCCTGTATGTGTATGTGCTGCTTTGGAGGGAAGCAGACAGGCATCAGGACCCCAGTAGGGCACTGAGTGGGACATGGGGACAAGTAAAGTGAAGTGTGGCTACCAGTTGGCTGTGGAAATGGAAGTCTATTATATGCTGTGTCTATGAGGCATTGTCTGGGAAGGGAGACAGTGCCTGTGGTGACAAACTCAGAGTCAGGAAACAAAGTGTGGGAACAAGATCAGAAAGGTTCAAGTGTGATGTTCTGGCCACAACAGTAAAGGCAAGTCTGGGAATGCTCTGTCTTTAGAACGGTGTATCCAGGGGTTGAACAGAGAATTCACTCTCTGACATGAGGAATATGAGCTAGGATTCCATGATCAGAGCCCAATACGGGTTATATATTATCAGTGCCTGGGAGAATGCTGCATTGTCAGACTCCTGAAGGGCAGATTCAAAGGAGGGATATCAGGCAGGTGTGTTCTGCACATACAAGCTCACCTGCCCCCAGGAGAAGGCCTGGCTAGGATGGCAGCAGAGGCAGCAGCAAGCAGCAGGCTCTGACTCCATTTCCTTGGTTGTGGCTCCTGAGCTAGAGGAGGCCACTCCTTGTGAGGACTGTCATGGGGGAAAGTCCATCTCTGTGGAGCAGCTGGAGTCTGCCTGTCTGCTCATCTTAGTCTGAGTTATGGGTACCATCGGGCTCAGATGGTACTGCACTGTCTACCAAGCTAGTTCTGAGGAGTTTCTGAGAAAGAGATGGTTCTACCTCTCTCCAGGAAGGGACAGAAGAATGGTATTGTGGGTGACTTTCTCTGGCTCAGCCTGGGACTCCACCCTTCCTTGAGTCCTGAGATACCTCACTCAGTCTTCAGGCCCACCTTGCTCATTCCATCATTCCATCCCCTTCCTCTTGCTCCTGGCTCTCAGTGCTACCCCCATTCCAATCTCCCCCACTCTAATCTCCCAGCTTTTCTGACTGTGTCCCTTAGGCTGTGCATACTCACCATCTGTGCCCTGAGATACATCTGTGCTTGGCTGGCAGTTAAGGCTGGAGAAGACGTGTTGCCCAAGAGCACAGCCTGCTGAGCAAGGCCTGAGGCTGTGGCTGAGTTGACACTCTGCGCCCGGTTGATGAGCTGGGCTGTTGCAGGGGAGGCTGCCAGATTGAGCTGATGAGAGAGACATGCGCAGTAGGAAACAGGTAGCCCTGGGGTGAACGGTGGCCCCTCTTCTACTTCTTGCCTTCTCCCTCTCCTATTCAGTGGCCTGTACAGCCTCCTTAGGACCATCTCCTGCCCTTGGCTCTGGGTTCTTCCCCTAACTCTGCCCCATCACTGGCTTAGGTGCACAGCTGTAGGAAAGACCTCACGGTTTGAACACTGAGTTAGTGACAGAGCCTTAATACCAGAAAGATGGTGTTAACACAAGGGTCAGGAAGAGGCTTATTCTTTTCTTTCTTTCTGACAAGAGCAACAGATTCCAGTCATGATCCTACATGGCTAAGGATTCACCACAAGTAGGTCCAGGAACTTGAGAGCATCTTAGGCAAGGCAGCAGAGCTAATCCAGGGTTCTAGACTCTGATTAACATTCCCACATCCTGCTCACCGAAGAAGACTGGGCAGGGGCCTGTGAGGTCACACTGTTGCCAGAAGAACTTCCTTGTCTGTTGGCCACCAGGCTTGCCTGGAAAAAACAGACTCTAGTCACCAGTGTCCCCCATCTCTGTCACTCATGGACTCTCATCTTCCAGGAAGTGTGATCAAGAGAGCAGCCCCTAGGGCTTAATCCCATTTGCCTCATCCATAGGGCCTTGAGCACAGGCCTGGCATTCCCTCTCAGAAGGGGATACCTACCTGAGGAGCCACCAAGAGGACTGGCCAGGCAGAGCACAGGCACTGAGCACTCCTTAGGTGGCCATCACCACTGCTCACTGCCTCTGGCTTTCTCAGTACTCGGCCCATGAGCCCCATGGCACCACGTAGAAGCTTTGTACATTGTCTGGGATGTTCAACCTGCCCTCCTCTGGCTGCTTCTTGACCTTCAGTGTTAGTCTCAATGTTACTCCAGCAGAGAGAGCTTCCCTACACCTGCCACCTGGGCAGCCCCCTGTCCTTCAGTCACCCCAGCCTGCTCTCTTTCACAGTATACATCATGGTGTAGATAAATGGTTTGCTTACATTCTTTATCCCACTGTTAGCTCCAAGGAAACAGGGTTCACAGAGCATCCTGTATCTGATAATAACTTTGCACACAGAAGGTGCATAAAACATTTTGTACCTTTAAATAAATAAATACATTTAATAATAAAAAAAAACCATTCTGTCAGATGAATGAATGAAACCATCCATGAATGTATGTCTCCCACAGTGGGAGGAGAGTCACCAGACAGACAGGTTTGTTGAGCATGTGGTTAAATGGGCTTGCCCAGCACTCCCTCCCCGGGCCAGCCAGTGAGAACTCCAGCTGCTCCACCTACCTTGGTGGGCCTTGGGATCCATTCCTCACCTGCTAAGGGACATGATGACCACAATGCCTGCTTCTCAGGGGCTTGGTGGGAACCCTGTGAGAGGAACTGTAGGAGGCAAAGCCATAGGGCCTGCTCCCATCTTACTGGCTCTCACAATCTACCAAAGGAGCCTCGACACCAGGGTCACCCAGCGATTCTTACCTGCTGCACTGCCGCCAGGCTCTGGAGCTGCGCGCTGCTGAGGTGCTGCTGCTGCAAGGCTGCTGTCTGCAGCATGAGGTGCTGCTGCTGTGCAGCATACATCTGCTGCAAGTACTGTGCTGCTGTGCTGGGCTGCCTGTGCAGTGCCTGCTGGATCACCTGAGGAGCACGGGAGGGGAGAACGGGAGCATCAGCTGGTTGCATGACAAGTCCTCTCTGAAGTCATGCCTCCTCAGCCCCAGCCCTCCCTAATTGCCCAGAGAAGGACCCCAGGATCTGAGAGCTCCACTGAAGCCATCGTGGCTCCCTGGCGGGGACACAGAGCTGTCTGCAGAGCTTTACACATGTCTTCAGCTCCTCCCTGACAGGGCTGCTCTGCCCCTGCAGCCAGCACCCCAATGCTCAGCCTACTTAAAGTTAGCCTGCCACAGCAGGCTTTGTAGATGTTTCTCCCCTCACTCTATAGCCTCAGATGAAGGTCAAGTTCACAAGGCAGAAGGGGCATACACAACAGCCAAGAAAACTCAAGATAATGTGAAAGGTGCCCACCTCCCTGGAAGGCAAGAGCTTCAAGGCTGGCCTGGAGCCCCTTCACAGATTCAGCTCGAATGCCCCAGAAAGTCCTGTCAGTCCCTGAGAAGGTTTACTTGGCCTCAGGGAGTATGCCTGTACCACAGAAGTGACAGTCAGTTTGATTCTTCATCTTCTCTCTCCTTTGTTCCCTCTTTGTAGCTACTGCCTCCCTGAGCAGCAGTCTCTAAAAGGCTAGTCTTTGACCCTCCCTCACCCCCAGGAGAGACAAGCCAGGGACCTTTCTCCTCCATGGCATTTCTTCCCAGTGATGCTCTGCCTGGCTTTAGCATACCTCCTTCTACTTCTAGCCCTTATCTTTATGCAGTCTCTGGTCCTAGGGCTGCTTCTGACCAGCAGTGACCAGCAAGGAGCCTCAGGTGTGATTCCTAGGTTGTCCAGGGCTCTTGGCTATGATTTGGGGGTTCTGTAGGTTGATGTCACAGATCCTCCATGGTCTCTGGTGTTCTCTAGAAAGCTATACCCAATGTGTAAATGCATTTCCATGATTCCTCTCCCCTTCAGCGTCCTCCTTTCTGAGATTTCAATGATATGAACTGCGCTCTTTGAATCCTATTGTTCTCAGATTTATTTGCTCTTACTCCCTCATCTAGGCCTGTTTTTTTTTTATTTTTTATTTTTTGTTTTTTGTAGAATCCTGAAAGTGACCTCCCTGCAGTCCAGCCAACAGGGGACTCCTCACTAGGGCTGTCCTTGACTAGAACCCTCAGTGGTTCTGCCTGGGTGCTGGATGTAGAGACTCACCAGAACAGAAACCAACACCCTTGCCCTAGAGTTCTGGTGAGTGGCAGGAGGCAGACATATGTTATACAGATGCTGGGAACCAGAGCTAGAAACTCATTGGTGAAGGGAAAGAAGTTGGAAGCAGGGACAGGGGGTGGGAAGAGGAAATGTGATTTGACAAGTGTGAAGCAGAGATAACTGGGAGGAGGGCCATGCAGAGGGTTCCACCAGGTCCTCCTGCTTCCTGCTGTGACTTCTCCCCACTCCCTCATATGGACCTAGGACAGCACAGAGTGAGGTCAACCATCCAGAATATCCAGACTGTAACAGCAGAGTTACTTAGAGCAAATATTTCTCACTTGTGATTTCTCTAATCTGCCCCTACTTTCCAGGAACTACAAACAGATATTGTAAATGACAACACACCACAAACAGTATCTGCTTGAGGTTCCTAGAGAGTTAGGTTCACTTTTCCCCCTTTACCTGAAAGACCTTGGCAAGTTATTACTTTCTCTGAGATTTTGTTTTGTCAACTGTGGACTTGTGCCCAAGGACAGCCATTCTTATAACTGACAAAGACTGAAATGTAGCTAGCCATGGTGGTACATACCTGTAAGCCCAGCATTGGGAGGCTGAGGCAGGAAGATCACTATGAATTCCAGGCCAGTCTGGGCTACACAGTGAGTTCCAGTCTAGTATCTTAAAGTAACAACAAAAAAGATTGATATGCAAAATGCTTAGCATAGTGCCAGGTACCTCAGAGGGAAGGTGGCAGTACATGCTCATGGCCTTATTTTGGGACAGTGTCTAACCCCCCAGAGGGCCTTACTTTGCAAACTTTAGGGAAGAAATGAAAAAGCTTAAAAGGCAAATAACTGTCTGGGACTACTTTTGTGGCTCTCTGTCTTTTAACAATATTAAATTTGTTCCTCTGTGTGTGTGTGTGTGTGTGTGTGTGTGTGTGTATACATACTATGTATGTGTTCATGTAGGTGTGTGCACCTGTATGTGGAGACCAGAGGTCAATGTCAGGTGTTGTCCTGGATCACTCCCTATTATTGTTTTTATTATTATCATTACTGAGACAGGGTCTCTCACTGATCCTGGAACTCATCAGTTAGACTAGGTGACTGGCCAATGAGCTCCAGGAATTCACCTTTCTCTACACCCCACCACTATTTCGACCCCCCCTCCCCCAAGAACTGGGATTATAGACTTCTTAATGTGGATGGTGAGGATTCAAGATCATGGCTTGCATGGGAGGCACTTTACTGGCTAAGCCATCTCCCCAGCCTCCTTAATGGCTCTTTACAGGGCAATGGCCATTTAGATAATGAATCTGGACTATGGTTAAGCAGTTTCTAGTCAGTTTGCTGTTGTTTAGTGTGCTGGACAGCTTTAGTTGTCAACTTGACACACCTGGGTAGAGGGAGCCTCAACTGGGGAACTGTGTCCATTGGACTGGCCTGTGGCCATGTCTGTGGGGTATTTTCTTGATTGCTGAGTGATGTGGGAGGGCCCAGCCCACTGTGGGTGGTGCCACTCTTGGGCATCTTGTTCTGTATTATATAAGAAAGCAGGCTGAGCATGGGGAGTAAGCCAGTAAGTAGTGTTCCTTCATGGCCTGTACTTCAGCTTCTGCCACCAGGTTCCTGCCCTGAGTTCCTACCTTGGGCTCCCTGATGAACTGTGACCTGGGAGATGTAAGATAAAATAAACCCTTTCCTCCCCAAGTTGGTACTGTTCAGAGTGTTTTGTCACAGCAATGGAGAAACAAACTAGAACAGTTAGTTTTGCTTGCCTGCCCAGTATGCTTTCACACATCTGCTCTCCCCACACAACATCCTGGAATCCATACAATCCATCAGGCAAGAAAGGGTTTTTGTTTTGTTTTTCTTTCTAAAGATTCTGTACATCTCTAAACTTCCTGTGTTGGACACATCTGGCGTCACTTCCTCCCTTCTAACTACATATAAGTGTGTATCCACTGACTCACTCCCTTTTGCCCATTCTGGAGCTATCCTGGCTATCCCAGCAGACCATGCCAGCCTCTCTCCTCTGGCTAGCCCTGACAATGAAGGGATATGATCCCAAGCTAATTAGGATCTTACCTGCACGGTCTGCCGGTCAGGAATACCACTATACACAGAAATCTGGGGTCCAGTGGGGCGGCCACTGCCACTACTGCCGCCGCTGTTACTAGCCCCACTGGCATTGCTGGTGACACCGGCACTGCTGGATGTGGGGGGAGCTGGCAGTTCATTCTCCATGGCCTACAATGTAGCACAGACAGGGCTCTCAGGTGGCAGAAGTGCAGTGGACGCTAGGAAGAAAGGAAAAGGAGAGAGCAGATTAACAGATACTTGCTAGAGCATGCACAGACAGCTGGCCCTCCATATCCCAGGCTTTCAAATCTGTGAATTTAATCACCTTGGATGAGAAATGCTTGGGAAGAAATTGTGTCTGAATTGAACATACACTTTTTTTTCTTGTTAGTCCCCAAATAACACAGCATAACAATAATTTACATAGAACTTATATTTTCTTAGGCTATAGAAGCCATCTAGAGATTATTTAAAATACCTGGGAGGATGTACATAGGTTACACGCAAATACTATGAAATATTATGTAAGGGTCTTAAGCATCTTTGGTGTCTAGGGGATGTGTAGTCTGTGAACCAATTTCTGTGGCTTAGTGTGGGATGACTGGACAGGTATGCACCAGCTTTCCAAACAGGCTGCCACAGGGCCACTTGTGAACTCAGGGTTTTTGTTTGATTTTTGGAGACTCTCACTATATAGCCCGGCTGGCCTCAAACTTGCAATCCTTCTGAGTGCTGTGATTATGGGCATGCAGCACCATTCCAAACTCTGGACTGAGGTTTTGAGTAGAGGTAAAATTAGTAATGGAGGCAGACTTCTGCCATGCTCTCCCTGGTAGGGTCTGAGGGATATTATCTCACACCCCACCAACTTCTTCGCCTCTAGGATGTAGACAATGAACATCAGAACTTATTATTGGTTCAGTTATACACAACCCAGGTGGTAGGATTAAAAATCTAGGAAGAACAGAATGAAAGAGGCAAATCAGGAGGTAAAAAAATGTGAGGAACAGTCACTTGGTTTTGTTTTCAAAATCCGAAGAGCTTGGAGTGTTTAAAGTCTCTACTTTCTTAAATTCTTGCTGAAGGCCTTGGAATCCAATGTACAGCAAAGTGCCACCTCGAGCCATTTGTCTGGAATATCCTGTTTTGGAACCAGAAAGGGTTTGAATCTTGGTTCAGCCAGTATCTATCTGGGAAAACTTATAGACCACACTTGTCTGACTTGTTTTTTTTTAATACTTTTTAATTTTTATTTTATGTGTACGAGTGTTTTGCCTGTATGTATGTATGTACGTATGTATGCATGTATGTAAGTGTACCACATGCATGCAGTGCCAGTGGAGGCCAGAAGAGGATGTCAGAGCTCCTGGAACTACAGTTATAGGTTGTTGTTAGCTGCCACGTGGGTGCTGAGGATTGAACCTAGGCCCTCTGCAAGGGCAGAAAATGCTCTTAAGCACTGAGCCATCTCTCCTCCTTCTTGACCTGTTTCCTAACCTGTCAAGTGTGACAATCCGTGAGCATAAAGTAAAAATGGTGATGGGAAATGCTCAGTGAATGAGGCAGATAGGACGTCTACACCCTGGATGATGGAGCTCAGCTCTGACCCTTACTTTTACTAGGGCAGGTACTGTGGAGTATGTACTCAGTCGTTGTTGACAAATGACAGCATTCTACAGAGAGTTCTAATGACATTCCTCTGTAGAAAAACTACACAGCACAGCCACTGCTCCCCTACGGGACTGACACATTAGCCAGCGAGGGACCCAGTGTCATGTGCCTCCTGGGCTCTGCCCAGCTTTCTCCTTTCTGTTGCTGGCCAGCATCCCTTTCCCAGCTCTGCTTGCTTTGCTCATGGAATCTTGGCTCCAGCCCCGACCCTTTGGTGGGTTTTATTTCACTAGGTTTCGCTCCCTTGACCCGCTTTTACCCTGTCTCCTATCCTATTATATCTGTACTCACACCCACCCTGCCTTACCCACAGATCCATGGCTGCCTCCAGGCCCAACCTGTGTCCTCTGTCTGCACAGGCTTCTCCTGCTGTGCTCTGACTCTCTAGAATGGAGCATGCTCACTCCTGTTTTCTCCCCATGTGATGGAGCCTGCCCAGTTCTTGGCCTACTAATGAGCTCTCTCCCTGAAATTTTGACCTCCTTGCACTGTCCAGCCCCACTTACCCTTGAACAGCCTCCCTCTGGCTCTCTGTGACAAACTCCCTGGCTGTTTAACTTCCAGTTCTTGCTTCTCAGGATATCTGCCCCACAGGCCCATCCAGCTCACCTCTCTCATTCACACACACACAACACTCCTTACTCCCTAGACGGTGCAGCTTGTTCATGATAGGCTGTTTCTCTGGCTCCATCTGCCCAGCTCATGCCTTTAGTAGCTCCAGCTGCCTTCCCTGGTTGAGTCTCTTATTCTCTGAGCTCTTTCTCAACCACTCATGCATAGGACAGGGGAGGAAGGTCAGACTACTGATTAGAGCACCAGATGTTTAGCCATTCCAAGTATGCAGTAACATTAACTACACTCAGTTGTAACCACTACCACTATTTCCAGGACTTTTTTTTAAAACACAGGATAGAAACTCTTTAATGGCTAAGTAGTAATTCCACATTCCCCATAGTACACCTGTGTTAGCTCTAGAGGCATCAAATCTAGATATCTTAGATACGTGGAACCATGCAGTATCTGTCCTTTTGTGTCCTCAGCAATGTTTCCAACGTTCATTCATGTTGCACATGTCAGAACTGCATTCCTATTTGGGGTTGAATAATACATGTGTGTGTGTGTGTGTGTGTGTGTGTACACATTTTGCTTAGCCGTTCATCTGCTGATGGACACTTTGGTTGTTTCCACAATTGGTGATGGCCATTGTGAATAATGTTCCAATTGTCTGGGTACATAATGGTGAAATCACTGGATCATGTGGTAATTCTATGGAGGGACATGTGAATTCAGCTGTTCCTGAACGATCTGTTGAATTATCACTGTGTTTCTTAGAGCCACTCTTAAGCTACTTAGTATGTGTGTGAGGCCCCTATGTCTGACTCTACCTGCCCTTCCCACCTTACTCCCCACTAAATTCTATCCCATTAGGCTAAGGATTATGCTGAATGACTTGAAAAGTCTTGGCCATCTGGCTACTTGCTGCCTTGGGCTTACTGCCATTTCTGAGTCCCTGAAATGCCTTTCTTCCAGCTTTCATTAACCAACTCCTCAGATCTTCAGCACAGCATGAGTCCCGAGATAGCACTGAATGTGCCCCTTCTAACTCCTGCTGCTCCCTTTCTATTCAGTCCAAATTTCTCTTAAGCTGTCCAGCGTGCCTTATGGACTGCTTCCACAACACTGTCTTGTACGCAGAGTGTACTACTGCTTGAGGATCTGTCTCTCCCCCACCCCACCCTAACCCCAGTCCTGCATTCCTGGGGAACAGGGATCATGTCCTAGTCTCTCATGCAGACCCGGGGCTTCAGGTTATAAATGAACAGAGCTGCTTGAAGCTACTATGCTCCACCCTGCTGCTCACTGAAAGCTTAGATTAGTTTCTGCCTCTTCTGCAGAATTCTCCCACTAGTTTAAAACAAACCACCTGTGATTTAATGTTCATTCTATCTACCACCGGTGTCTATACTAACAATAGTGATCATTTATCAAGAATTTACTACCTGTGAGACACAATAGTAGATTCTTCAGACATACTCATGACCTCCCCTATGGGATAGTTATTCATATCCCAGTTTTGGAGTAAGAAATGTAAATAAGCTTGGCATGGTGACATAATCTATAATCCCAGGACTCAGAAGGCTGAGGCAAGAGGATTGCTGTGAGTTTGAGGTCAGTCTGTGCTACATGAAGAGTTCCAGAGCAGCCTGGATTACAGAGCCCGTCTCAAGACACACACACACTTCTAATTTTTGTAAGGTCATCACAGAACTGAGATTCTAAACGAGGTGTGTCGTTAAGGCAGAGCTCTGTACTTCAAGCCCTACTCTGACCTGAGCCATTCTTTCAGTGATGCTGGGCCCCAGTCCATGTCAGAACATACCAGTTTTAGAGCTGGGAAGTCGCTGAGATGACTAAGTTGAATCTCCTAATTATTGACCATCAAATATTTATACAAAATAATCTCTCTACATCATGTATATATGTGTTCATGTCAATGAGTTTAAGAAATAAAACATTACCACTGCCACCACCCCCAGTTTCTGAGGGAGGGAGAGAGTGGCTTACTGGGAACCAGAAGTGAAGAGGGCATCCTGTTCCCTTGGTTTCCTCTTAGAAGGGAACTTGAATTTGGAAAGAATTGACGAAGAAGTGTGGAGCTACTGTAGCTGGAACTTTTGCTATTGTCCCACTGTGTGGCAAAGTTTCTGCATCTCTCTACTTTCCTTCTGCCTCAAAGCTTTGGGTGCATGGGAACTAAAGGAGGCCTCCTGGAGTAATTTTAGCAAGGGCTACTGGTGAGTCTGTCTGTGGACTCCCATTACATCCTGCCTACCACATGAGAAATCTGAATCCTTAAATTTCACAGTGTCTGCGCTTTGAGCATTTACCCACTCCTATTCAGTTTCCTTTTTCTTCCTACCTTATTCCCTGGCTTCTCCCTTCTAATGACCACCTTATTTCTTCCCAAGGCCACCCACCCCTGTCGACTCCCACTGTGAACCACAGCCAGTCTCACTAATGGCTGACAGCCAGGACTAGAAGTCTGTTTTTCTTGGGTTCCAACTCACTGTGTGGTTCTGCCTGAGCCTGAGCTCACAGCCTGTGATTCCTGTTTTAGTCAGCCCTCCCTCCCAACCGCAAGGGACCACTCTGAATGATGTGCTGACTGGAACCAGCTTGGATAGCGATCTTATTACAGGTCTCTGCCACCCACGGGGCTTGAGACCCAGCAGCTGGAGAAATGCTGATGGTTCTGTCCTTCCAGGAGCCACCAAGTCTAGGAAACACTAGGCCTTTGTCCCCAGGGTCAGGGAAATCCATTTGCTATGGATTATGGCTATGACTGTATTCCAGGGAGGCAGGCAGAAGGGAAAGATACTGAGAACAGAGCTCTTCAAACCTAGCCAAAGCCCCAGGGTCCAGAGGGGAGAGGATTCCAAATGGGATCAGGGCCTGACTGAGAGGTAGGAGGGCCAGTCAGCCCACAATGGCTGCTGCTGGTGCTGTCATGCTCATAAGTGGCTTGTGTGTGGAGATTATGAAAAGG